AAAGCTAAAAAAAAAAATAAAAAAAACTAGAGAGAAAAGAAGAATAAATATTAAAATAAAAAGCAAGAAATACATTTTATAGTAAGAAAATACTTAGTTAAATTAAATAGAAGAATTAAGAAGAGATACGTAATTACCTAAAGCTTAAAATATAATAGTCTATCCGGGTCAGGTTCCAAGTTTTTATAGTAATTTAGCGTCAGATATTTATAGTTAATACAAACACCTCGTAGAAACCAAACAGACGGAATTATTAGTATTTTCTATAGTAGTAAACGAGAATCAGACAAAATTTAAAATCTAACATATAGGACTGCAGGTATAAGTAAAGAATAAAAAAATAAGGCCGAGTTGAAAGAGCCGTAGCAGCACCTGGATATGCCTCGGATCCTTTTATCAGCGATCTATTTGCCCTCTTCGGTCACATCTCCCTGATGCCTTCAAACCATGGGGGCCAAAATCGGGATCGACTTCCTACACAATGACACATCAATGACAGCAGCTGGACCAGATACAGAAGATATGTGATACAACACGCGATTTGAATTATTTGGTATCGCTTCAGATTCCCAAAATATAGATGAGCGGCCTGTGACATTCTGGCTTGTTCTTATCCATGTTTCGGCTGGCGTAGGTCAAATTTGCCAGAGAAAGACTACTTATTATATCTCTTTCGTAGATCGGAACAATGAAATCAGTGATATGACAGGCGCAATATGCGCGTTGTGACACACAGGGTTGTTTCCCTTCTGATAAGCGAGGCCCGTGTTTAATTGGAGTTCGGCTGTCGAAATTACCGGAATAGGCAATAGTGCATGCTAGGTCCGACTCCGATGCCGAGGGCCGCGCCTCACAAAGCGATAAGCGATGAACTTCATTCTCAATCTGCTCTGAATGTCTTTCTTCTCCCCACCCTATCTCTTGCGTGTGCCACTCTCCAAGATCGTTTGCTGAAGGCTACGGTCTCAAATGGCAACCCCTCGTCGCAACGGGCAGCTTTCTTCCTGCGAGCCATGCAGAAAAGCGAAGCTACGATGCGACCACCAGAGTCCCGTTTGTGGACGATGTCTCAGCACCAATCGAAATGAGCTCTGCTTCTATCACCCAGCTCCTCAGACCCAGCCGCGTGCATCCCCCATTGGCGTTTCATCACGAAGATCAAGAAAGCAAAGACCAAACAATCAGGTCACCTTTCGTGTGGATAAGAGAATATCCACCGCAGCCGCGCAAGGTCCGCTGCCAGCTTTGCCGTCGGGTTTGTCGCCGGTGATCGAAGACGCCAAGACACTATGCGACCAGCACCTCCCGCGATGTGCTGGAAAGAACAAGCGGAACCAAAGAACAGGTCTTTTCGGGTTAGTCTTGGCCCAAGACATCTTTAGCGAGTATGAAGATAGCTTGCAAAGCGATGATCTCGCTCCTGAAGCGGCGGCATCGACGACCACGGCTCACCCAACCGACCGTGACTCAGATCAGATCAAGCGTGGGGCTTGGATTCTGTTGCACCTGCAGAAGATCCGTTGGTTCCGTGCGATCATTGAGCTGAAGAACAAGATCTCACCTGGATGGGTTTTAGGCCCTGCTTTGACACGTGCCCTGTGCGATTCCATGGAGAGGATGTACGACTCGGCCGTGGGTGGCTCTCCGGACACGCACGCATCCTTACTACGCCTGTCGCGCCAGATCTGTACCAACACATCGGAGGATATCCGAACGCACGCAGCCATGAGCGCCAACGAGTATTTTGAGTCGATCACGGCACGGTGGGAGACCGTCGGTCTCTTCTTTGCATTGCTTGGGACAGCACTGTTCAATTCCCCCGACAGCGATCCCGTATTCACTAATCAAAACCCGTCAGAACTGTCGAAGGCTCAACTTCGAAGCATTTCCACTACTGCGGGGGAGCTGTGCTGCCAGTTCTGCAACAGCGCCGCAACCAGCAGTGATCCCCTTTGCTGGCTCATGATCCAGCAGGTAGCCCTTCTGACTTCGATGTTTGGGGATAGCGGTATGTACACTTCTCCTTCGTACATTCTCGCCCGCAAGCGAAATTGAACGGCGGCTGAAATTGCGATAGACTACAGAGTGTGGCAGAAGCTCGGAGACTTATCGACCATCGTTTATGCATTCGGCCTGCATCAATCCGATCGAGACGTCCAACCAAGCCTCCCCTTCTTTTTGGTGGAGATCCGGAAGCGGGTGTTGGTGTGTGCGTATGCAATGGACAAGGAGCTGGCAACCTCTTTAGGGCGTCCCCCCCGGATCTGCTCGCGATACTGCCATCTCCCGCTTCCCTTGGATATTTCCTATGAGGAGATGGTTTGTCCTGGTACCACGGAGGAGACCGCACTACTGAAAGTTGATGCGAATGGTTGGAACACAGAAGGGAGATTCACGGTGGGTGTCAAGCTTCGCGTTGTGTTGATGACGAGTCTGCTGCGAGAAAGCACCTTAGAGCTGTCGCTAAGCCCCGAGATCCGGAATCTTACAGCCAAAGTCGAGTTCGTTACATCTGAGATTCCTAGCATTACTATGATTCAAAACTGACTTCCGCGAGAATGGGCGCAGAGACTTGATCCAAGAGTGCCGAAAGATGCAACAAAGCCTGCCTACCTTCATGCGTTGGTCGGCCGAGGAAGCGGCGACGGGTGCATACCGCTCAGCCCAAGACGAGGGCCGCGTCTTCGCACACATGGAATTCACCTACCAGGAGTTTTTGTTGCATCGCATCCTACTCAAGCGCCTGGGAGTCACATCACTAGGTCTTACAGAGAGCGCCGTGGATATTCTGACGACACTGCTGGACACCATTGCCATGCAAGCTCGATCGGGGAAGTCCGCTATCGACATGTCCTGGGATGTACGACTACTTTGACCGTTCCAGACCCTCTGCTCTGGGATCACAATCATCTGACTTACCCATCTCCTACAGTTGTGCTACATGGGCCTGCCTGCCGCAGGTGTGCTGACCTCGCAACTACTTGCCGGGCGCAATTCCCAGAAACCACCGTCGAGCCCGCCACCGCTACCGGCCAACTTCCGCTCCCGCGCCGTTCAGAAACTGAGTGTTTTTGTTTCCCATCTGACGTCGCTAGTGCAGAACCACGACGGGAATTATGAGGTGGCCCAAAAGGGGGCGAAATTCATTCGATGGGCATTGGACCAGGTTCTTTCTCCCCCGCCAGTTCCGCACCCGGCTGTATGGAATGAAGACCCCGACCTGCCGCAGGGCTGGCTTCTGGACTGTGATTTGACTGAGGACTTTGACTTCTTGGCATGGTGTGATACTGTGAATTGGTCGCAGGACTCCTTTTTAAGTCTTGCATGAGCGGGATATCTGGATGGATATCCTGACAAAGTCTGCATCACGAAAGCTTTGTCTCAATACAAAGTTTTGACAGCAAAGGACAAGCTCGAGGCCAGGAATATTGATGGAGACTAAACAGAAAAATCGGGTTCCATGAGGGAAATAAGGACAAGGTTCGGTTGCATGCAGTGTGCGATAGTCTTTGCTCTCACATACCATGCCGATAATATATTCCACAGTACTCAAACGCAGCCAAAGGCAAGCAATTACTTCTGAACAGTGTGATCCACCGCCTCCGGTACCGTGACCAACCCCCTCTTCTCCTTCGTCCGCCACTGCATCGCCTTCAAAATTCCATACAAGACGGTCAACGTCGGCATGGCCACTCCCTTGGCCCTGCCCTCGCGCACCGCCTCGCCCACCAGATTCTCAAACTCCGTGAACCGCCCGCTCCGCACATCCACCTGCATACTCGGCGGATTGTACATAGTGATCGGATCCATGGTGATCATAAAATCCAGGGTCTCGTCGGGCAGCTCCACGCCCGCGCACGCCTTCGCCGCAGCCTGAATCTCCCGCATGGCTGGTTTTACGAGGTCCTCAATCGCCCCCTCCGCCAACTGGATCCTCCCCGTATCAAGATCGGTGATGGCACAGATCGGGTTCAGGCACGCGTTGTACAGCAACTTGCGCCACCGACTAAAAGCCACGTCGGGGTTGAACTGCGGCTGGCACTTCCCGCCCGCGCCGTAGATGCGCACGAAGTCCTGCGCGGCGGCGTCTTCGACCTCCGGAGCGAGGCCCGCATTGCGGAAGGCGCCGATGTACAGCTCGTCGTCGTCTTCATGGACGATCTTCCCCGGGGCGACTTGGTGAGAGCCGCAGAAGCTCACGCCGCTGAGGATGATGTTGGTGGGGAAGGCGGATTGTAGGGGTTTGTGGATGTTGAGGCCGTTTTGGAGTAAGACAATGCGGGTGTGGCCCGGGGTGACGGCGGGATGGATTAGTGTCGCCACGGATGGGGGGATGTCGGCGTAGTTCTTGGTAGTTACGATGATGTAGTCGTAGGGAGGAAGGGATTCGGTGGTGAGGTCGGGGATGGTGTTGCGGACTGGTCTTGGGTGTTAGCTGAGACGATTCAGGAGGCTGAGGTCGTTGAGGTCGTCGAGAGAGGGCGGAACAAGAGGGCTCCGTACGAATGGATGGTTTGAAGCCTTCGACCTCGCCGTGGTCGATGGATTTAATGCAGAAGCCATGTGCCTTGACATGTTCGTAGTTCGATCGCAAGACGGCGGTGACAGTGGCTTGGGCGCCCAGTTCGAGGTTGAGGGCCCCGATGGTGCCGATGCCGCCGCAGCCGATCAGGAGGACGTTAGCTTTGTTCTGCATTTTGGTTGCTACAGCTGTGATTAAGCAGGATGATGTAGGTTGGTTTGGGCAGATAAATATCGAGCCGGAGGGGTTCCAGGATCCAAGTTATCTCGCAGCTTATCAGATTAGGGCTGCAGGCTGGAGGATTTCCTTCGATTTCCCCGCTTTGGGAATCAAACAGGCAAGTCATCCCGGCCTCACTTTCCGTTCTTATCTCCGCCTCTTCCCCCTCTTTTCCTCTTTTCTCGAGATGACCTCCCCCATTTGATCGCCATCGATTGCATCTTTATGATTCTTCTTTATCGATAAAATAACAGATACCATGACCGATGAACAGATAGACACGACGCCTTCCCCGCACAGCCTCAAGCCCGCCTCGATCCGGTCACGGTCGCTGGGCGGCTGCGAGACCTGCCGCCGTCGGCATGCCAAATGTGATGAGACACGGCCATCCTGTCAGATGTGTGAGCGAGCGGGTCTCATTTGTGAGCAGTATGGCATCCGACTTCTGTTTGACTCCGGGGAGAGTCAAGGCTCGCGTTGTCGACGGCCGCTCTTCACCGAGCACTGCCGCCAGCAGATGAGCGAGCAGCTGGTGGCCAGCCTCAAACCCCACAATGTCAACATTGTGCTCTCTCGATTGGATGGGGACTGTGAGGAGAGGGACGAGATACCCCCGACTCAGAGCTTCTTCGCTCAGTTGGGACCGTTTGGTGCCTTCCGTCTCGTTCAATCTAAGCCCGACCCCAGCCCCGTCTTGATAGAAACTCTCCCAGCACACTCGGAGCTACCACTGGTAGAGATTCCTCCGGAAACTGGGCTCGATCTCGCGCTGGAGGATGCCTTTGCTAGTGATCCCTTGCTTGATTGCCTCTTTGGTAACCTGGAAGTCGATGGTTTTGGGGAGCTGTCGACGCAGAACTTCTTCAGTGCTGCCATGCCGCTATCCGAGGGGGATGACTTCTCCTCCCCATCCCAGTCCCTCACCAGTGGCTTGCTGATGGGGCCATCGACCGCCTCGTCAATGGGGCTGTCGTCTCCATTCTTGTCCGCACCAAGTCTGCGGTCCCCTTCGACCGTCACTAATCGCGCACCACCCGACGCTCCTTTCCTTCTGTCGGTCTACAAGCACGACGTAGTACCACTCTTCTCGCTAGTCCAATCGCGTAAGAATCCCTGGGAGGCATTGTTTGTGTCTAGCGCCATGGAGACCCTGGCCCGACTGACCATGGGTGAGAACGTTGCACCGACGCAGATGACCATCTTCAGCGCCATCCTCGCCACGGGCGCCTTTGCTCAACGAGGAGCCTCGGCCACGCGCAGCTCGGCAAATTACTGGGAAGGGCAAGCAGAAGGCCTTGCGGCGGAGGCGCAAACCTACCTCAAGCGGGCCTTGCGAGACGCGTCATCGACCGTCAAGAAGGTCAAGTACAAAGACATCCTCATCGCCCTCCTGTGCATCCATACCGTCTCGGTACGCATTCCTGATTCCATCCTCCTGGACATCACTGATTGATCCAGGCGTATCAGGGTAGCGAAGAACGCGTCCGTCGTTGTCTGCTTGACTGCGAGAATTGGGTGCGCTTCCGTGGCTTGCCCAAACCCCGCAAGTCGCGCAAAGTCCGCCTTCTGCACCACTGCTACGTCTACCTACGCATCTTTCACGAAAGCACCTCGGTGCTGCCCCCGGTGCCGCCGGACGGGGAGATTGACCATGCCTCACCGGAGGCTACCGTCGGATCCATCGCGTCCAGCCGGTCATTCCGGCTTCGCCAATGGGAAGGCCGCCTCGACCAACGCATGGAGGAGCTCAAAGAGCCGCACCAGGGCGAGAACGACCTCCACCTGGAGATCCCCGGGCGGTGGGACTCGACCATGTATCCGCAGGTGTTCGGGCTGCCGGAGCCGCCGTTCTTCCTCCTCTCGCAGGTAACTCGGCTGGGCAACGAGCGGGATCTCGCCGACGCGGGTAGCAGCAGCAGCACGCTGGATTTCAAACAGTTCAATGCGCGGGCACGCAGCCTTGAGCGCTGTATTTCCGCATGGCGGCCGCCGGCCCTCGCTGGCGAGGATGATGGCACGGCGGATGCGGTGGAGCGCCGCAACGCCCGCCGCAGCTCCCAGCTCAGCAGCGTGTTGCACAAGGCGTTGCTGATCTTCTTCTACCGCCGGATCTATGATGTGGATCCGATGATCCTGCAGGATAAAGCGTGGCAGGTCCGGGAGGCGCTCGCCCAGTATGACGAAGAGATTGAGGGTCAAAGTGCCGCGTCGTGTGTGGCGGCCCCGTTCCTGTGGGCGGCTTTTATTGCCGCGTGCGAAGCAATCGACCCGGCGTTGCAGAGCAGGTTTGTGCGGTGGTTCGAGTCGGCTGCCCAGCGGAGCAGCGTCGGGGTGTTTGAGCACGCGCTGGGCGCCATCCGGCTGGTCTGGGAGCGCCAGCGTCAGAGTACGGGAATTACGGCTAGCTGGCCGCAGATCCTGCGCGAGGAGGGGATCAGTTTATACTACATATGATGCCTCCGCCCAGAGCTTCTTCCAACTCAAAGCTTCCGTGGTTCTTGTGGCCTACCCACTGCATAGTCTCTCCCGACTTTCTACCCAGCATCCCCTGGTGAAACCGTTGACATGGTCATTCCTGGCAGCGTAACCAGAATCGGCCCTATCTCCCACCCTTTCATCATCACCCAAAGAAGTCAAGAGGACCATTTATCACGCACGCACCTACAATTCGAAGGGTGCAGCCTCACCGCGTCTCCTCTGACCATCCTTTCCTCCCTTCCATCAACGGCAGCAGCAGCCGGCCCTTCATCGCCGATAACCACCATCCACAATCCACAACCAAATCGCATGTTATTCTTTTCCACGAACCTCCATATGCAGAACCCTTCATCCTCATACCTCTAAACGTTCAAAGGATTTCACAATTCCACGAAATATAATGCAAGACTCATCGAATCCCCCACCCCGCCAAGTAAAGCGTGACGGATTGCACCTTTCCGCGGAATGTGATGTTCTTCAGCTCGAGGGCTTCGAGTGGAGGTGGCAAAGATCAATGCAAGGCTGGCCTTGGAAAGGATTGCCAGGGGGGAGACATGTATTGTGTGCACGATGGTGTGACCTTTGTATGACTGCAGCATCCACGGGGTGGGTTGCAATCTTATCGAACCTAGACCTTCAAGAAACTCAGGATCCAGAGTATTCTGAAATGTGCCGGTTGTGAGAATGAGGGGTCGAGAATTTACGAGTGAAGCAAGGGGGCAGAGCGGCGAGACAAACCCGTCCAGAAGCAGTGGTTGTGCTCGGATGTCCGTGGTGCGGTGTGACCGCTCATTTCCCCAGGAGGTGGGAACTCGTAAGAGCTTGGGGAAGGTGACTACTTTTACCTGGCGTTATATGAATGGTGAAGGAGCCAGCGGCGTTGGGGGTTTGTAGAAAGCTGAGGGGAAAGTCCAAGAGACGGGCACTGTGCCATTGGCTTTCAATGCGGTCTTAATATTGAATCTGGGATGTGATGCGCCTTTGTGGCTGGGGTGATCGACATTGGATTCCTATTGTGGTTATGTTTTCATATTATATCTAAACAAATAGCAGGTGTTTGTGGCCTGCTGTTCAAGCCGCAGGTGCATGCATTTATGGGCTTTGTACCGATGACATGCACCTCGCCAGCTCCCCAGAAAGGCAACTCGGTGGAGAGACCTGCCTATCCGGTTATCGATATCAAACTGCTGCCAGATAAGTGGCCATCGAGGCAACGCCACCGATAGAGCAGCCAACCAGTCAGCGAGGGCTGGCTATCTCGGCGGAGATGCGAGCGAGCCCTATCTCGGCCGCTGGTCAATCGCTGCAGCCCGGGGACCCATATATAGTCCACCCCGGACTGTCAATGTAAATATCGCTCTGCGTTGGCCCTTTCCCTCTTCGCCCATCGTCACACCGGGCGACCAGCAACATGACAGCCAAAGCGATCTCCACCGACAAGGCCCTCGAGGCCCACGACCACGAGTCGCCCGACCCCGCCCTCGACTATGGGGAAGGGGAGATGGATCGCCTCCCCCACACGCAACGGGGCATCAAGTCGCGGCACGCGCAGATGCTCGCCATCGGGGGCACGATTGGCACCGGGCTCTTCGTCGGGGTCGGGTCTGCCCTGTCGATCGCGGGCCCGGCCTTCCTCCTCCTCTCGTACGCCCTCATCTGCCTCCTCGTCTACGCCGTCATCACCGCCACCACCGAGATGAACACCTACTTGCCCATCCACGGGTGCTCGATGGCCGCGTACGCGACGCGCTTCGTCTCCCCCTCCCTCGGCTTCTCCCTCGGCCTCCTCTACTGGTACAGCTTCGGCATTCTGGTCGCCTACGAAACCACCGCCGCGGCCCTGGTGATCAACTACTGGAGCAACCCGGTCCCGCTCGCCGCGTGGATCACCGTGATGCTGCTCGTGGTCTTCGCGTTGAACTTCAGCCCGGTGCGCATCTACGGCGAGACGGAATTCTGGTTCGCGTCGCTGAAAGTCTTCCTGATCCTCGGGCTCTTAATCCTCAGCTTCATCCTCTTCTGGGGCGGCGGACCGAGCCACACCCGGCTCGGGTTTCATTATTGGAACGACCCGGGGGCGACCAACACGTATCTCGTGCCCGGGGCCACCGGCCGCCTCTGCGCCTTCATCTACACGCTGTGCTACTCGGTCTTCTCCTTCAACTTCGGCCCGGAGCTCCTCGTCGTCGCCGCCGGCGAGATGCAGCACCCCCGGATCAACCTCCCGCGGGCCGCGCGCCAATTCTTCTACCGCCTGCTCGTCTTCTACGTGTGCGGCGTGCTCGCCATTGGGGTCATCTGCCCCCGCGACGCCGCCGGCCTGACGACGGGGACGGGGGTCAACGCCTCGCCGTGGGTGATCGCGATCCAGCACGCCGGCATCTCCGGGCTGGACTCCGTCGTCAACGCCGTGATCATCACCTCCGCCTGGTCCGCCGCCAACTCGTACCTGTACATGTCCAGCCGCACGCTCTACTCGCTCGCCGCGGCGGGCTCGGCCCCGCGCCTCTTCGCCCGCTGCAACCGCCACGGCGTCCCGTACTACGCCGTCCTGGCCAGCGCCACCTTCGGCGCCCTCGCGTACATGGACTGCAGCGCCGGCGCCAGCACCGTGTTCAACTGGTTCGTCAGCCTCACCAACTCCGCCGGCATGATCAGCTGGACCGCCTGCGCCCTCGTCTACCTCCGCTTCCGCGCGGCGTGTGCCGTGCAGGGCGTTGCGGTGCCGTATCGCTCCCGCTGGCAGCCGGGTGGGGCTTGGGCGGCCGTGGCCGTCTGTCCCGTCATTTTGCTGGGGCAGGGGTTCCAGTATTTCGTGGCCGGGAATTGGAGTCTCAGTGGGTTCTTGACGAGCTATCTGGGCGCGTTTGTGTTTTTGGCGGTGTATGCGGTGAGGAGGGGGATGGGGGCGTGGAGGTGGGGCGAGGAGTGGTGGGTGAGTCTGCTTGAGGTGGATTTGAGGGGTGGGTTGGAGGAGGTTGAGGCGTTGGGGGCGGAGGGCGAGTGTGGGCATGATATCGGGGAGAAGAGGGGGTGGTGGGTGAGGGTTTGGGGGTGATTACCTTTGTTTTTTGGCTTTTACGTTGTGTTTCTGGGTGTTATGTAGATTCTGCGAGGCTGAATTATCTATCAATGGTGACTGGTTAGCTGACCGTTGGACCGGATCGGATGGACTGTGAGTCGGTGATATGGCAGGCTCAGGGGATATTATGCAGCAGAACCAGATGTTGGATGAAGCTCAGCTTGCCTGGAGGTTATCTGACGTGCGAGCCCGGGGTGAGGGTCTATAGCGGACTTTGTGTGTGGTACTCTGTCTATGGTTTTATTCCTCTTCTGATGTTGATGTGGGGATTGAGACTGCTCATCAGCAAACTGAGGGTACATACGCATACCTTGAGGGCTGTGAGACCACCATGAAGCAAAGCCCAGAGATAATGTCGAGATTACAGGCTGTGAGCCTTCGTCTTTGGACGTGTAGTGCGTCTCTATCTGGACACTTCTCCACGTCACAACTGTTCATTGCTACTTGCCCAGACAGGGGCGCGTGTTTCTATAAAGCTCGTCATGATCCATATCTCAACTCCTACCAAAGTCGCCATCGCCACGATGTAAAAGTGAAAATGGGTCGTATATTCCTGCCCGAAGATATCTTCAGCTAGCAGCCCGTTTCATATCTATACGAAATACATATTCTGCTCCAGCAGTTCACAACTTCGCCAACACCCCCCTCTCCAACACCGCCAAATGCTCCGGCGTGATATCCGCGATCGTCCGACACCTATCACCCCGTTAGCACTGGGCAGACACTCCACCCAACCCCGTAGGGACCGACTCACCCAGCAAGCATCATCGTCCGACAAAACTCGTCATAGATAATCCGGATCGCCAAATCCACCCCTTGCTCCCCATTATACTAGACACGCAGGCGTTAGCACACCCCCCTCCCCCACAAGAAAACGGAAAAGCGAAGAAACATACCGCCAACCCCCAAATCGGCACCCTCCCCACGAAACAACAACTCGCCCCCAGCGCCAACGCCTTGAACACGTCCGATCCGCGACGGATGCCCCCGTCCACGGCCAGGGGGATGCGCCCCCGCGCGACGGGGGCGCACACCCGCAGCGCATCCAGCGTGGCGGGCACCCCGTCCAGCTGCCGCCCGCCGTGGTTGGAGATGAGCACCCCGTCGACGCCGTGCTGGATGGCGAGCTCGATGTCGGCGGGCGCGTAGACGCCCTTCAGCCAGATGGCGAGGTTGGTGTGCTGGCGCAACCAGGGGATGGTTTTCGTCCAGTGGATGGTTGCGTCTTTCTCTTGTTAGTTGCTTTCTTTAGAATTCAAGGATAGAGGGAGGGTTGGGGAATACCATAACCCCGCTCGTACGTATCCTCCAACCCCATCTCGGCCGCCCCAGCCAGCACGGGGAACTTCAAGTGCGGCGGGAAGTTGAAGTTGTTGCGGGATTCGTTGAGCCGGTTGCCCAGGATGGGGAGGTCGACGCTCACGAAGAGAGCTTTGTAGCCTGCCTCTGTTGGATGAATATATCAGTATCTGTCCCTATCCTGACCGGGGTGAAAGCATGGGTTGTGTCTGCCGCCGACCCAGCCAACATCTTCCTCCGCACGAGGACCCACGAAAAAGGGCCGGGGACAACGAACTCTCCGCCGCTTGGATGATCCTCTCCGTGATACTGATATCCTGGAAGAACGACACCTGCATGATATACGGATTCCCCCGCCCCTCGCTCGCGGCGATCACCTCCTCCACGCTGGAGGTCGACCACGAGGACAGCGCCATCGGGATATTATGGGCCGCGGCCGCGCGCGAGGTCCCCGTCTCGCCGTCGATGTGCGCGAGTTTGTGGGCTGCCGCGGGGGAGAAGCCGAATGGGAAGGCGATTCTACGGCCGAAAAGCGTGGTGGTTGTGTCGAGGTTGGAGACGTCGCGGAGGACCCGCGGCATGAGTTTGTAGCGGCCGTAGGCTGCTTCGTTATCGCGGAGGCTGTCTTTCTTTGTGAGTATAGAGCTGGGGATGGGGATGGGGAAGGGGGAAGGGAAGGTAGGGTGTACGTGATCAGGTCGCCGGCGCCTTCGTTGAAGTAGTCTGTTTCTTTCTGTTAGGCTTTGTTGGCGCTGGGGATTGAGGGGTAAGAGTAGTCGCCACGAACCTCGTACGACCGGGGGCAGGCGTTTTTGTGCCTCGACCGCCAGGTCGGCGATGGTGAGGACTTTGGTGTCGTGGATTTTGCCGCGGTTGGACATTTTGGCTGTGTCTTCGTGGGTGATGGGGAGATGGGTTGGTGATGATCCTTGCAAGAGTTGAGAGCTATATACTTTCACTTTCTTGCTGGATTCTGGCTGTTCTACTGCCAGCTTCTCCGCAGCGGCTACCTCCACGATAAGCCACTGTTGAGGCAGGTCATCCCGGGGCGGCCACCACGGCAAGCCACCCCGGATAAGATAGCCCTAATTGGACTGTCCCGCGATAGCCCGCTGCAGGCGCATCCAGCATCCATGCATCATCCCTGGATATAAGAACCCCCGCTTCTACTACGTCGTGGCCACTCATTCAGCATTATTGTCACTGCAGGATCTTCATGTCTACCAAAGCCATCGTGACCGACCCCGCCGCCTACCACGCCGCCGGGGTCATCTCCAACGGCCCTCTGCTGCACATCTCCGGTCAACCCGGCACCTTAGCGGGCAAGACTCCCTCCGATGGCGTCTCACAGATCCATCTGGCCTTGTTGAACTTGCACCGTGTCATCGCCGCGGCCGGCGCCTCTCCGCGTGACATTGTCAGTTTAACCCTCTACGTTGTCAATTACGATGCGGCCAACCGTCTACACCCGAAGCCCCTTCAGACCTTCCTCGCTGGCCATCTTCCTGCTGTGACCGTTGTGCCGGTTCCTGCTCTGGCCGTGCCGGAGTGGAAGTACGAGATCGCTGCGACCGTTGCAGTTCCGTCCCCCACCGTCCCCCGCTCGCTGCCCTCGCCAACTGATGCCGACGTCGACGTCCTCGTCATCGGCGCAGGTCTCTCCGGTCTGGCAGCAGCCGAGTCGGTCCTCCAATCCGGCCTCTCCTGTCTCGTCCTGGAAGGCCGGGACCGGGTAGGCGGGAAAACATGGACGGAGACACTCCCCAGCGGCACAGGAGTCGTCGACCTGGGCGCTGCCTGGATCAACGACACCAACCAGACCGAGATGATCGCCCTCGCACGACGCGCCGGCGTCGAGCTCATCGAGCAGAACACCACCGGCAACTGTCTGCTGGAGCAGGACAAGGGCCCTACCGTTCTCTTCCCCTACGGCCAAACCCCCTGCGTAAGTTGCAACACCCTCATCTTCACACTCAACCTCATCACACTAACCACCCCAGATCACACCGCAAATCCAATCCGAACTGGATAACGTCCGGGAAATGTGCGAGGCGGACTGCCAAGCACTCTCCTGCGAAAGTCCCACCGACCCCGCTCTCGACTCGCTCTCCTTCTACGCCTACCTGCAATCCCGCAACGTCAGCCCCGCCGCTCTCGCGACAGCATCGGTCTGGACGCGCGCCATGCTCGGCCAAGAACCCACCGACATCTCGGCCCTCTACTTCCTGAACTACTGCCGCTCCGGCGGCGGCCTGATCCAGATGCGGTCCGACCGGCGCCACGGGGCGCAGTACCTGCGCGTCCGCGAGGGCACGCAGAGCTTCGCCCAGACCATGGCGGGCGACCTTCCGACAAACACAATCCTTTTCGGCGAGCGCGTAGACGCCATCCTCCCAAGCCCTCGCCCGGGAGTCGTCGTCCTCTCCCGGACGGGCCGCGCCATCCGCGCCAAGAAAGTGATCTGCTCCACCCCGACGCCGGTCCTCAAGACCATCCAGTTCCACCCGCCGCTCCCGGCCAAGAAACAGCTGCTGGTCGACTCCTTCCGGTACGGCTACTACACCAAGGTGATGCTGGTGTTCCGGTCGGCCTGGTGGGTCGAGCGCGGGTATTGTGGGCTGGTGCAGTCGTTCAAGGGCCCCGCGTCCATCTATCGGGACACGGGCAGCCCCCGCGATGGCAAGTTCGTGCTCACGGCGTTCTTGGCGGGTGAGAGTGGCCGGCAGTGGGCGCGGGAGAAGGACCCGCGCAAGCGGGAGCAGGCGCTGCTGCGCCAGTTGGGGCGGATCTATGATGAGCCCGAGGTCCCGGCCACAGAGTTTGTGGAAGCGTTGGGCCACGAGTGGAGCGAGGAGGAGTTGTCGGGCTGGGGTTGTCCGTGTCCGGCGCTGCCGCCGGGGGTGTTGACGCTGGCGGGCGAGGCGTTGCGGGAGCCGGTCGGGAATGTGCACTTTGTGGGGACGGAGACGGCGGCGGAGTGGAAGGGATATATGGAGGGGGCGGTGCGGAGTGGGCGACGCGGGGCGAGGGAGGTGGTGCAGGGGTTGAATCGGAGTCGACTGTGATGATGGTGATGGATTGTGGAGTGAGCTGGAGAATGGAGACGAAGTAGTAGTAGTTGGTGAAGAGAGGAGGTTGTGTTTACAGTACTGTAAAGTGCAAGCGGAGATACGGGTCTCGGCCAATCCGTAACTCCGGCCTCCGCACGGCCGGGGATTACATAAGCCAATATCCCCCCTCGCGTTCATTTGTTGATTTGTTGCAGGGCCTCTCCTCCTCACACTCCTTAATATTATGACTGTAATCTCATCACTCCTGGTACTAAATCATCATGTCACTCCGACTCCGGCGCCTTCTCCCCGCCATTGTCATTATCGCTGTTATCTACACCTTCCACCACACCTTCAGCTTCTCCTCCTCACCTCCTGCTCTCCCTCTCCATCCCACCCCCTCCGACTGCGCCCTCCCCCCCATCTACGATGACGTGCTGGTCATCCTCAAAACCGGCATCACCGAAGCCCGCACCAAAGTGCCCCCGCACCTGACCACCACCCTGCGCTGCCTCCCCAACTACGTGATCTACTCCGACTACGCCGAGCCCCTCTCCTCGACCGTTTCCACGCAAGACATCCTCGGCCCCTACATCTCCAGCGCCACGAAATCCACTAACCCCGATTTCGGTCTGTACAACCGCGTGCGCCTGGCCGGCCACGCCGGCCTCACACCCGCCGACCTGGTCGCGGACGTCAACACGCCGATCGGCAAACCCAACAACCCGGGGTGGAAGCTGGACAAATGGAAATTCCTGCCGATGGTCGACGCCGCGCTGGCCGCGCGTCCGTCGGCCCGGTGGTTCGTCTTCATGGAGGCCGACACCTACCTGCTCTGGCACAACCTGGCCGCCTGGCTGGCGCGCTTCGACCCGCACAAGCCGTGGTACTTGGGCAACCAGATGCAGATCGTGGACGCGCTGTTCGCGCACGGTGGGTCTGGGTTCGTGCTCTCGCGGCCGGCCATGGAGCTCGCCCGTGACCTGCGGGCGCAGAGCGGCGACGGCTGGGAGACGGCTGTCGATGCCCACTGGGCCGGCGACTGTCTGTTGGGGATCTTGCTGGAGAGCTGCGGCGTGGCGCTGACGTGGAGCTGGCCCATGTTGCAGATCGCGCCGCCGGGCGAGGTGGAATTCTTCGGTGTGCGTGCGGATACCCCCGATCGGGTGTGGTGTTATCCCGCGGTGTCGTTTCATCATCTGGATGGGGAGGCGGATCTGCGTGGCTTGGTGGAGATGGAGAAGGGGTGGGACCGCGATGGGTATACCGGTCGGGTCATGGTTTATCGGGATGTGTTTTGGCGGGTGGTCTGGGGCCAGATTCAGTCCCCGAAGGATGGGTGGGATAATTTGGTGGGCGACGAGGCTGGGCCGACCGCCACGGTTGACGAGTGTAGGGAGATGTGTGCCCATGAGGCCCTGTGTCTGGGATATCGGTTTGCGGTCGGGGAGGGGAGGTGTTGGTTGGGGAGGGGGATGCAATTGGGGAAGAAGGCGGACGGGTTTACGTCTGGTTGGATGACGCATCGGATTCAAGCGGTTGCGGACAGTTTGGGCCGGTGTGAGGCCATCAGTTGGATTGGGTGAGAGTGGCCTTTGCATTCTTTTTCATTCGTGGATCAAGGGGGTATATCTTGCTCTATGGGTTTACGGATACCGTGCTGTCCTCTCCCTCCTCCTGTTGCCGCTGTTCCTGCTGCTGCTGCTCCAGGTAATACCCCTGGCTCGACCCTCGAATCACAAACTCCCGCGCCAGCCCCTTGACCTGCAAGTCGACCAGCTGCGCATCGCGATACTCATATCGACCGAGCACGATCTCTCGGCCGGCCGAAAAATCAAACGGGCGCAGCACATCCACCCGAAACTGCACTTTGGGGTCCGCACTGCTGTCCGCGGTCAGCTGCACCGCGCCCGTGACACTGTACAGGAAACGGTCCAGCGCGAGGAACCAATCCCAGCCTTCCTCGCTGGTGGTGGCGTATTCGTGCCAGAAGCTGCTGAAGAGGACGGTGGGGCGCCTGCCCGCGACCAGATCCTGGGCGGCCAGGCGTGCCTTGAAGGTCACCAGCGTTTGCACCTCCTCGTAGAAGCGGGGTAGCGCGGCCAGCAGCTCGTCCGGCGAGATGTCGGCGTCCGTCCCGGTGTTACCCAGGTAGTGTTGCAGGTAGTGGGCGAAGTGCGGTTGCTGCTGTTGCTGTTGGGCGGCGAGGGCGTAGAGTTGGGTTTTGGTGGTGTGGTCGGCCGCGGTGGCCCGCTGGGATTTCCAGGGAAATTGGGCGGCGTGGTCGGTGGGTGGAGGGTCGTGGGGAGGGGGTGGGAGACTGATGCCCACGCTGGAGACCGCGAGGGTCTGGAGCAGGAGGATGAGGAGGAGAGGTATACGCATGGTGGGTGTGGTGTGAGGGAGCAGCTCTTGGGTAGTATGCGGGGTTGGACAAACGCGCTCAGCAGCAGTAGTAGCAAAGAAAGCAAGAACCACCACAGAATTAGGATCGGAACAGAAAAGACAGACACCAGAGGGGAGAAAGAAAAGAGCGAAAGAGAGAAAGACAGACCCTCAGACCCTCCTGGCCGGTTAACCTCAACCCTAGTCGGAAACCTCCATCAACCTCAAACGCAAGCAGTGGAGAGCGGGAAACGCATTGCACCTATCACCAGGCTGCATGGCTGGATCGACAACGGTCACACCCGGATTCAGACATGGATCTTCCGACGATTCGTGATGCAGGGTCAGGGTCGTGATCGGGCACCTGGAGCTTCAGATTTACTTGATGCTGAGGAGTGGAGGGGTGAGCAAACGGTGCTTCCGTCTGATGATGTTGATGATGACCGGGGGAATGCAGTAGCAGCTGACGATTGCCTGATTCCGGCCTGCAGCAGCTGTCAAACACGATGGGCAAGCATTCTGGCAGTGGGGCTGCCCAGTCGACGGACCCACTGGGCTGAATCTGGGCCTTTCCCTTGTCGGCTGGCGTTTGTCTGGCGTTTGCTGGCCATTGCAGTTTCTGGTAGTCTCCTTATTAACACTTTTCCCGTTGCCCAGTCCTTTCCATTCACGCCGCATGATCTCTCTATTAGCACCCAGGCCTCTACCCAGTATTCCATTAAAGACCGTGCTTTTTATCAGGTTAATTTATCAACGCTTTGCTCTGCCCTAGCTCTCCATTAACGGGTGTGCTCTGCATCCCGCCGTTCTATTAGCAATGTACTCTCTACCGAGACTTCGCATTAACGGCCGTGCCTTTAATTCTTCTCTGGTGAAGTTTGTCTATTCTCACTCCCGTCACTTACTACCTCTCCATACAACATATATACCCATCCAGCGATAACCTCTGCCTCCATCTTTCTTCTCTTCAACATTCTCTCATTCCTTCCTCTGTAAATATATTTCTCAGTGTCTTTCATTAATTCCTTGGCCCTTTACAACTTAACATGTTCTCTGTTCCGAGTCTTTTCCTATCTTTTTTCACCCATGCCTTAAGTTCACGGGAGTCCATGTCCCACAACCGTCACTATCATCCGCAAAGCCCTACCTCAGAACTATGAGCAGCCCTTGCTTGACCTCCAAACTGTCCACGGAAGCACCCCCAATCCAGGCCTCATGCTCCATGAAGTCAGTACTGTGACCCCTCTGTGAACCCGCTCGCTCCTTTGCTAATTGCTCAGAAAGAGTCTCCTTGCAAGCCGATTCCCATGGGCCATCAACCAAGGAATTGCCGTGAATGGCGACGCGCGGTAGTTGGGCTGGCAGTGTGCTTCCATCTCCCATGAGTTCCTGGTTCCTTGTTCCTACCCAGACCAAGCCTTGGACTAACATCCTCTGCACACTACATCTAGGAATCATGCCTGGCCGCCTACCTCCACATGCAAGACGAAAGCCTTTCCGTTGTGCTGCGCATTGCACCTCCGCATATCCAACCTCAGAAAAGGCGGTTGTCTTCCCTCTCCTCGGGATGTCGGTGGATGGGTCCAAGAAGCACATTGCTTGGGATTCCTCGCTTCCTTCGCTTTCTTCAATGGAGGAAACGGGGACTCGTACCATAGCCGGCTGGGGTTTGTGATTATCTTGCAGATTATAGCCAGCAGTCTCCTGTCCCTTGCACCCGGAATTCATCCAGAGGTACTTGGCAAGGCCGAGGATCTGAGAGCTTGGCTGAATGTCGTTCCGTCGCTGTTGCAGATGGAAAGCTTACCCTCGATGCAGGATACACGAACGCGGGGAGCAGGAGGTGGTGGTAGAGTCCGTGCCATCGGACGGTGAGGGATACAGCAGGTTTATGTGCGAGCGAGATCTGGCACAAGCACCAGCTGCTGCAGATCGGAAGCTTGACGGACGGTCAGAGGGACCGGCTGAGGTAGTCCTCTCTGCTCGCATGTCTGCTCCGGAGCCCAGGTTCCCTGGTGAGATGGTCTGCTTCGACATCGGGTTATGCTTGAGTTAACCCTGAGTAAGCTACCATTTCTTCTTCCGTTGATTGTTGTGAACTTTTTGCTGATGCTTAGGGCATAGACACCAGCTGTCATATTATCCAATAGTTAGATCGGACGGCTGCTAGCCGAGCCATCGGCGCTTCGAGGACTATGCTTAAGGAGTGTCGACAACCTCTTGGCCAGCTGAGAGGATGGAGGTCGCTCTTGGATGAGGCGGTACGTGAGTTCGGTCGGCGCTTGAAACTGAGAGATAGATAGAGGGTTTACAGTAAGTCCATCACCACCTTTTCCCATTGTTCCAGACGCAGAGGGAAGGAGCTTGTAGCGCAACCGTACTGACGCTTTTGCGACCGATAGGATCTATGTCTGAACCCCCAAACCTAGCTGGCGAACATGCACCACAACCCTCGGTTTGGCTACAGTGATCCACTGGGAGATGGTCTCTTTCTGAGTTGTCCGAGCCCCCAACTGGGACTGGACCACTGGAATACTCTCTAAGCATTACCCACCACGTCCAAAAGATCCACCTGTCCGACATCCAATCCGTCTCCAAATCCAGCACTGTCTCTTGAGCTCCTGGATCGCTGAGGCCCTTCTGCAACATGCCGTTCATTACCACCACCACCAATATGGAGTCTACACTCGACCTCCGGGTGTATAACTCATATACAGTTCACGAGCACCAGCGGACCATCGTCGTATCAGGCACCCCGGATGACGGAATGCGGTCCCTTCCCTCCACGGCTTGTGCCGCGCAGGCTTTCTCGTGCAGTGCTATTGTGAGCTACGAGCCTGAGGAGAACCGTGACTAGCCCAGCTAGGCTCGGGAAATGGTGCAATGTGTCACACACTGCGTATAGTGGACACGGATCACCTCATGGTCGCTGTCTTGCACCCGATGTGCACTTTAACCCTACTTGTAATGTCAGTGGTCATGGCGTCCTGCTTGGGGAAGGGAAAAGGTACTCCGGAGTATGGGGTGGATCGTACCACACGTCGGCGCCGGTGATTCAACCCAGGCTCCAGCAGCCAGACCAATTTATGCCTGGACCATGTCCGATTCATACTGGGATACGCCTGGACAGTATTTCCTTCCCAATCACTTTCGCCGATCATTCATTGGCTCGTTCCCTGAGCCTGTGGCACCTGTTGAGGCTGCCGTGGCTGTTGAGGCTGCCGAGCTTGGTTAACCCGCGGGACCCTCGCAATATTCATCCCGGATACTGCGCACAGTCTTGCATGACACATTGGCCGTGCAGATCAGTTGCCTTCCTCAGTACACGTCTTCATCTACAGCGAGGGCCAATGTGACCTCCTTCTTGGCCGCATATCCCGGGCCTTCCTGGACATGCCTTGGTTCCCACAGAACAGGGCCAACTTCTACCCAAGGTATGTGCATTGGCAGCAGTATTTGTTTTTCATGAGGCATTGTCGTAGCAACACTAAGCTTCTAATAGCACCGTAATCAACACACCGGCTGCGAGCAGGAAGAATCGAACGGAATGGTTTGGCTGTTGTGCGCCCTTGAGATTCTGCGCGTGCGCTATCCGGTCACCGTCCATCCGCTGCCTGAACTGCTACACCTACTGACACATTACCGGCATGGTTGTTGCTCCAGCAAGACAGGCGGCAATAGTCCCATGAACGGAATCACGGTCGAGACCCTCGAGGCCTTGTCGTGCGTCTAGCCGCTGAGTCTATCATGGAGGAACAACCACAGGAGTAGTTCCTCATCAAAGTTATGATGGAATGACTGTTTTGGACTGCTTATCCCTCCAGGGCACTGCTGTTCACATTCCCTGTGGTTGAGAACTCGCAAAAGCTACCTTCGTGTTCAGCCTTCGTCGACGTCGTGGAGGAACGGGCCATTGCGAGGAGAGAAGTCACGCATTTCTGGAGCCTTTCCAACCTTAGTCGCTGGAGATGACTGACGCGTAGAGATTGCTCACAGCATCATACCCGTCCCTGCATCACTACCTCTGTTCAGATGCCCAATTCGACGCGCTTCCCGACCCGTGACTGCAAGAAGAACTACTCAACAGAGGCACGACACCAAGATATCGGACCCCAGTGAGAACGAACCGCCGCGTAACACAATGCGATGTTCCTGCCCCCGAATTCAGTTTCGCGTCAGACATGACGGCAACCACATCAGCGCGTTCGGTTTGCGCCGTGATCGAGACGAGCACGTCTACGACCAACTGAGCTCCGTAGCGCCGCTGCACCGCTCCGAAGAGTTTCGCTTGCCATGTACACGTGTTGCTACCATGCATGTTGACGTTGCTGAGCGAAGAGCGATGGCCATGCTCAGCATTTCCCGGGGAAGATATTCGAATCCCCACCTTCTGAGCGGTTCGGTACTGAGAACTGGGAGTTCTATTGTCTCGGTCGGGCTTGATGCCCTGATGCCTTTGCAGCCATGAAAGGCTGGGACCGGGACCGAGGCAACATACCTCGGGGCGGTCATACGCCGCATTTTCAGCCGGCCCGCTGCGGCGCCTGGCAACCGTGACGCAATGTGAACTTGATTTGTGTCTGCGAGTCGCAGATTCCAAAGATATCGTCACCCCGAGATTGGCAGCTAAAGTGAGAACACGATCCAGCACCCGGAGAACTACAACCTGTCGTCCACCTACTACAGTAAACCGGTGTCTCCACTGATGAGCCTGAGGACTACAGCAACATCGCCGTGTCGATGTGCAGACCTGTCTTCAGGGCATCGCCCGGTTTCTGGCCCAGCTCCTCATCGTCGTCGCATGTTCCACGAAAATGAGGGTCCAAACGACTGGTTACCGTTGACGTACCTAGACGACGCTGATGACAAACGAGGCCAAGGCCTGCGAGCCTTTCCCCATGGCTGTGTCTTTTCGAGGTCTCTGCGCGAAGCAGCCCGACACTCCTGGGTGTCTCGTTAGCAGACTACGTTGATTCATCGACTCTCCCCATCGCAGAGCACCGAGAAGGAAGCCCACAACAACTCGCGAAGACGCTATTGATTGCTCTGCCTCATCGAACCTCCCACAGATTACTCGAAGAGCATATTCACCAGAAGGCATCCTCAACACCAATCTTCGAGGAGAAAAGGTTTAAAACCAGGGGTTCTACTCTTAGAGATCATAGGAAACCAGAGCAAACCCGGCGAACGGGGCTAACCAAGTAGACAGGGCAACGACTCTAGTACCGAGGCTCCGCGAACTACCAAAGACGCAGGCTTTGACAGACGAATGGCAACGAGAACAGGCGTCTGGCCAACGGTCTACCGCCAGGACTATGCCTCGACCGTCTTCCCAGGGTGTTCTGATTACCGATAACCCCGTCGGGAGATCGTCACCCTTCGGGATCCGCACCGCATGCCGGGCAATGGGCGCGAAGAACACGAGAGAACGTATGTCTTCTGGGCCGAGTGGCCTTGTCGACTGGCAAGAGGATGATGGACTGGGCGGAGATGGAGGAACATCACACCAAGGGGAGATTGGCCGGAGGATAGATCTCCTGCGGCGTGTTTCACGAGCTCCAACCCGCCCTTTACCTCCTGTCCCCACGCATACTCCTCCACGTGGCCGGCCGGCGCAAGCGGATCACCGCGTACGCCGGTCTGTACGCCCTCCGGGTTCTCCTGCGGCTGTTTGGCCTCTCGCGCCGGACCGGAGATCGGATTGCCTCGGCGGGGACCAGCCATCGCGCTACCGGAAAAGGTCGAGACCGTCGAAGACTGGGAGAAGTAAGCCGGCTTCCGGGTCGTAGCACACTTCCCCCGGAGGGATTGCGGCTCCATCCACGGGACGAACTGCGAGTAATCTTAGCTGATGAGAGAGCGTTGATGCTTTGTCTCTTGCAGTGGGGATTTTGTGATAATCCTGAGGTGGACCGGGATTTCCCTTTAGTTTCCGCATGCACGGAAAGCCTCCTTCTTCCATCCGAGGTTGGGTAGAACCGAGTTCGTCTCTTTTCTGGTAGTCTCACCCCCTTATTCGCCTCCCAGCCGAGCCACAAATCCAGCCATGGCGATTGTGCGTTCAAGGTTTTCGAGCACTGTTGGTGGAGCGGAGACACCGTGGCCGGCTCCCCACTTAATTGTACCTAATTTTCTGGTCGTCAGCTGCACCGTCGCGGCCCACCCGTGGAATCTTGTGAGGCATCTGCGTTGAAGAGACTGCGAGACCCTCTCACTCGTCGAAGACGTCTCCCCCCGGGACCCGAGATTCGCAACTTTCGCTATCGCCGACCAGGTGCACTGCGGCCTGCCGTAGCCTTACCCTGCGAACTCGGCTACGAGCTCTCCTTGCTCAAGCGAAACTTGTGATTATGATTGACACACTGGACTGGATGCTGTACAATCGAAGCAATGATAGGCGGTTCTTGGAGATAGATTGGATCGACTTCCCGTGTTGAGCTGAGGTCTGAGTCTCGGTCCTGAAGCTTCCGCGATAATGCTCACGGCTCGAGCAGTGAAGACCTTCCATCCATGGGCGAGGCTTGGGAGAGAAACGCCTTTGTGCCTTGAGGTTGAGTCCGAACGTCAAGCTGCGTCCTCAGTCGCCTGGTAATTTTGATGCCCTACACAATTGCTCCTCTTGCTGACGTTTTGAAAGGCACCCGCTGGGCGGAATAATCGCACAGCCCCCCTCCAGAACAGATGAAGTGCTAACCCAAGGCGATTGTTCCACGCAATGGTCTTCGTTCTGACCGATAGACCAGAAAGCACGCACTGTTTCCTTTTATTCGGAAAACCCCGGGGCACTCTCATTTCAAGCCCAGGCGGCCAAGCTTGCTTTTGCATTCCAGACATTATAGGGTTTCCCTCGAATTGAATCGTCGGAACACGATACCAATTGACAAACTTGGCTCTCGTCGTTCTGCTATCATAAATCTGTGGATGGGCCTAATTCATCGCTCGGGGTTAACTATGAGATTCCATGGTACCGATGTGCAGGTCTGGAACAGCACCGTGGACCCTCTCCTTGAACAAATTCGCTGCTGCATTTCAAGTGGACAAGGCGACCTTGGACAGACTAACGACCAAAGGGCGTGCTCCTTGCCGCCTCTGCTAAAGCGCTCGGCAGGCTCAGTCCCGACGCCCGGCTGCGAGATCAAGTGCATCCACAACTAGCCCCTTCGGCTCGTGTGTATGAGCTCCCTTTGCTCGAGATCGCGCTCATTGCCCACGGAAGCTTGGCTCGCTGGCGCTGCTGCGTCGACATCATACGGTCCTGTTTGACCCGCAGACGCAGACGAGCGAGGACTGCGGGAGGCAGCTTTCTCGGAGGCTCTCGTAGGATTTGCATCTTGCTAGGGAGCATGAAGGGAAGTCGGAAGAAAAGAGGGTTGGGGGAGATGGGGGCGAGCGTGGAGAAGAAAAGCACAGGAGGCTCGTTGATACTGCAGTCCGGGAGACGGGCTAATCACCATAGTACACCTGAACAGGAGCAAGTTTCTGATTCATTCTGCGCCCCGCCAGCTACCTCGCTTTTATCCTGATTCCACTTTGCGAATGCGGCTTGCTCGGACGAACGCAAACTTCTCCACGTGGCGCCCGCAGGAAGTGTGGGCATGGTGTTATGCTTGCGGCGCTGTGGCTCAACTCATTCGGGGTTGCAATCACATGACGTGGGTGCCTCTGACATGATTTTATTCTAACACTGTCCTTTGGCCTATGGTTGCCACTGCGCCGCGAGATTTAATTTCAAATGCGGTGCCAGATGACGGACATGTGCCTGTTCTCAGTGGGGGGAAGGTAATCTATTTCGCCGACTAGGACGGGCCGTTAAGCCAGGATTCGCTCCATAAAATGCACATTTTGGCTATACGACATCGTATCGTCTATGGTCAGACTGTCGAAGCTGCGGTGACGCCCCGTACCAGCGACAGGAAAAGCGGGTGGACACATTTCCAGGGTCTGCGACTCAGCTTCGGGTTCAATCTCTATTTGAACACATCGGCATGTTGACCATGCCCAGCAGCAGGATGACGCAATTGAGCAGGGTGTGCAGGGTGCACCGCCTGCAATATTTCAGTCGCAGATGCAGAGCCTGTTGCATCTGTTCATTGGTGTTGCGGATGGCTTGGTTAAGCAACGTGACACCGACCCAGCCTTTGCGGTATGGAGCAGATGATCCTATCTTCTGGGGTTGGGGACAATGTTCATAGTTATCTCGTGCCAGGAACGCCTCAACGACCTGGTGGAAGTGTCTAACAAGGGGGTTCCCTTTGATTCCCAGTTTCCTCTCACCAATGTGACGGAAAAAGAAGCGTCCACGCCCTTCTGGACGGTGTCAGGACCTTTGCTCCCATCCTTTGCTGTGGTTGCCCTGCACCTGCAGCTCCCCTAGTGTATCCAGTCGCTGTTGAGGGCGAGCTGGGACATCCCGGTGACCTTCGTCGGGGCCTGTCAGAAACCGTGCCCTGAAGAACCCGCGGTGCGGCCAGCTGGATGATGGGATCCGCACCAACGCAGCGCGGGTCAGGGCTGCGACAACCAGCAGAGGAGCAGCCACCCCTGTCCATAATTGGAGCAGTGGCGGCCCAGTCAGTATCTTTCCCCGCCATATCAGATTGCAAAGGCCCTGATGGTAGGTCCCTGCCACGCCTAATGGTCACGATGTCATGCAAGTTGGGACTAGGAGGAACTCCGGGAGGATTCGGTTTCTAAGGATGAGGACAAGCATTGGTTCCAAGGCGTCTTTGATCCAAAGAGGATGATCTGTGGATGAGTCGCCCTGGTACCTTGCCGACATCTGCGACCCCCGGCAGGACATGGCAAATGCCTTCATGGTCTCTCTATCCATTGATCGTCTCAGCGAAGGGACCTTTGCCGCATTCCAACGCTTCTTGAACCTACCAAAGGACTGCAAACCCGGTCGGTAGCCCCGTGACGAGATCCCCATAGCAGGAATGCAGATTTCAGCTGGAGCGTTTCAGCCGTTCAACCTTCGGTTCACGCCATCCGCAGAAGGGAAGAATGCCATTTGGGGGCGGCATCTTCAAAGCGGGTGCCGTCGGACCTGGAAAGACATAAACTCCGTCGGCCTGTCTCCCAACCAGCAAGGAAGCCTACTTCGTGTATTAGGATGTGTTGAGGTTGTTTGCCATACTGCCTGTCGAGGCATATTCTACGAAGGCGTAAGCTATCATGCATGCCGGTCTGAAAGCTCGATTCCCCGACCAGAGCGGGGACCTACATTGGAAGGATCAGGATTTCCAGCTAAGGCACCACGGTGTTTGCCTGTCCGACTCACTGCGCTGATCAATGCATCGGACACGATTGCGAAGTATACCCAGGCGGGGGGTCTTTTGAACGTCATATCGCTCTTGCTTGGAAAATACTGCTAGAAGTCTGGATCCGACCAAACCAGCCCAGTCAGCTGGTGACCCTTTCAACCCAGATTGACCGCGCTGGAGGCAAATAACCGCCGTCTCTACATTCCTGGCGAGTCGTTATACCGCCCAGTTAATATACAGAGGTTCATGGGACTTCTTGGTTAACTATCTGTACGGTGTGGAAATCTTCTGATTGTGAGAGATGGCACAATGGGTCCCTTGTACCTTCCCGATCTATGCTCTCTGCACACTGAAGAAGACGCCTCGAATACACCCTGCACAAGATACCGCGTCCTCGTGCATCCCCGGGCTGGAATTGATGTGCATAAGGGTCGGCAAAGTCTCGCCCCCGTTATTGGCACAAAGAGCGAACACGAATGATCACGGAACAGGTCGCGATGTTGTCAGTTTGTTCGGTGGTGTTGAACTCCTTTATCTTTTGAACACGAGCTGCACGATCTATTACTTTAAGAGTATCGACTTCGCCACGTCGGTTTCCTTGGCTTTCACAGATCCTCGCATTATTTGCACATTGGTCCCTCCGCATCCCCCTGTTAGAGTCTGCGCACGAAGTCTCTTCCGACAGGAGCTTCTTTCGTCTGGATTTCTTCAGAGAGAGTTTGAAAGCTTGCCAGACAATGCCTCTGAGAACAACTACAACAGATATCAGGGGCGCGCATCTGTACTAGTCTTGTCAGTTCAGTTGTCGCGACTGCAGTCATCTTCTTCCACTTGATCGACAATCAAGCGCGTTTATCTTAATCCCTTTTACCCTACGCCTGCCTCTTCGTTCCCTAGCTCAGTCCATGATTCATCATCGCCACGGCTGTTATCCGCCTTCTTGTTTGAACACAGTCCTACCATCGAGCCATTGCGTATTGTCTACAATGCCGTGTCCACAGGGCACAGTCAACAGTGGGATCTCATCTGTCTTGACGGCATTGACGAGTTATCGTCTTGTGGTGTGCTCTTCGACTGGCACCCAACTTTCCATGGCACGATCCCTGCCGCGCTCCTCATTATCGCAGTGTGCATCAGTTTCAGTGCCAACATCTGTGAATCGTTTATCACACTGGATACAGCGCCGAAGTGTGCGTATTATGGCAGTGAGCCCTCCTCCAGCGGCTCTTGTGAGGAACCACATATTCCGAGGTGGACATTCCAAAAACTCTCCGACATGCGGAATCTCTGAGATGACAGGTGAGACCGGTATAGCTCTTGTACCATTCATTGGCGGGTCCGAACACGGCAACCGGATTTTATTATACTGTGGCTCTGGTGGCGCGTTTCAATCCCGACTTTGCTGATAAATCATCCCCGGTTGCATGAAGCATTTCCCGGTCCGAGCACTTCACACGAGATACTTGTGGCCTCATTGAGATGGCTGGTACACGCAAGCCTACCACAGGGACTTTATCTTGAGTGCCCCGAATGACGACAAGGTCATGAGGTGGTAGTGTGTTCGGAACGTTCTGGGAGAAGTCCGAAGGAGCAGATGACTGGGCAAATGGTTTGTTCTGCATCTCCAGGTGAGTCATGAATGTACGAAATCTGATCCACTCTCCGGGTTCGAGTTGACAGTCCCTCGTCGACTGTTGGCGCTGGGGACTAGGGGCTCAAGCCACTGTAGGAAGCATAGCACCCGGACAGAAGCCGGCTAAGCCCGTCTCGGACAACGTGGACGACCGACTCACCACACTGCCGCAAGCGTCAGCGAGAGGACGTGGAGGAGGAGGAGGAGGAGATGGGGCTACCCGGTCTGCGCCCCTCGGCTAGGGGCAAAGACCTGGCCGGGGCTTGGACACAGCACGCATTGGAACAGATCCTGCGCAGCGGAAACCCGATGTATGACTACTGGAAACTGGCGGCGGCGGCGGCGGAAGGGAGTGAGAAGTGGCACCAGATCTTCGTCCAGGTGATGCCGAATTCGACCTCATCCCCAAGCCTCCCATGTTGGCAAAGAGAGAATGAGCGATTGTCCACTCTATTCCATCCTCTAGGGCGAGTGCTTGCAGGCGGTGGAGGTTCTGCTTTGCAACCAAGAGTTCATACCCATGTTTTTCGAGAAGCACCTCAGACGCTAAAATCATCATCACCACCCAAAAGATCTGTTTTGATGGGAGCAATGACTTGCATGCTCTGTACCGTTTACCCATCTGAACCCTTGTTGGGATCTGTCACTCTTGATGACTCTTCAGCTCACTGTCTGTCGCGCACGCACGATTGATAGCATGTCCGGCCGGGTGGCACAGCCGTTGAGTTTCGGTTAACAGAGCAGCGGGTCCAGCGCATGCGAAACATCCTACGACGGATGCACGATCTGCCCATGGAATTGGGGGGGGGGGGGTTCCGGCGCAGATACACGACGCGGCCTCCGGTACGAAATGTGCCATACCAACAATAGGTGCACCTGTTCAGATGGGCGCAGCGTTCGTGTCTGGGAACTGGGGAATGCCGCCGATTCATGGTCGCGCCCGCGTCCCGATACTGTCCCGAACACCGGCCAGCAGCCGAACAACAACACCCCGCAAGGCAGCCAGTCTTCACTCCCACCATCGAAGAACTCCTCCGTCCCTCTCTCGTCTACGACCCCGCCCGGCCGGTTCCCCATTTCTCCACCACTGACATTTTCCAGGTCCTGACCCTCGTTGAGAAGGAAGGCGATCTCTCCGAGCACCTTTCAATAGACGCGATCAAGCGATCCTTGCCGAAGACCGCCCGGAAGGTCCGTTCCAACACCAAGGCCGCTGGGGACGCTTGCCCGTGGCATAGACTCGAACACCTCTCCCACGCATATGTGAAATCCATCGACACCCGCCCTGGCGCCGTGGCACGAGGCTTGGGGATGGTCTCCGCCGTCCGCATCTGGAAGCTGGTATTCCAGAAGGAGCAATTCATGTTCCTGATGCGAGATTGGCTTCCGTACCGGCACCAGTGGTTCGGAATCAGGGATATTCTCGACTCGCAGAACCCGGCCCGTGGGAAGCCCCGCCAGTGGAACAAGTTCCTCGGCAAGGAAATCCAGGCTCAGGCGAATATCCCGGAGCTCTGGCGCGAGTGGGCGAGAGATGAACGTCCTGGTACTGTACACCCAATCCTTGACCACTTGATTCCTGAAATCCTCAAAGGGGAGGTGTTCCTATGCGATGCCATACGCCTGGCTCATTGGTTCTGGAATGACTACCACACTGTCTCTCGCTTCGGCCTCAATGCAGCCACTTCCTGCTCGTTGTTGCATACAGAACCCTCCTTGCCATCAACCATGGCAAAATCATCCTCACCCTTCCGCCGTAACCATCATGCCCATGCTCCAAGTGTACCTCAAACAGAACCCTCCGAAGAACTACATTCCACAAGCCTCGCACGGCTGCGTTCTGGCCCCATGCATGACCTCGTCGTGGCAGCTGTCCGGCCATCGGTGCCTAGGACCTTCCTCCTTTTTTCTCTTCTCATCCCATTAATAAAACTCTAGTTTGGCCAGATCATCTCTTTTTATAGCCTGACAGCAGCTCGGGCCGTCCATATCTGTGAACATCCCGAAACAGTGGACGCGGTTCCTACCGAGGTGGGACATGCACGCGAACCGAAGCAGACTTTTGCGGACAAAGCCGATGGTCCAGACACATTCTAGCCACATAACGCAGCCTCGGCCACACGATGACTCAAAAGCGATCGCGTGCCGGTTCGGACACCGGTCAATCTGGAGCCGCGGTGCTCTTTAATCTGCTTGAGCGTCGCACACCTGAGCCAGACGCAGGAGCGCATCTTCTCTGTAATGTACAGGGTTGCGGGCGGCCGGACACCACCATTGCTGGTTGGCCCGAGTGCACCTCGTGGCCCAGTGTGCCAGCCGTTAAATTTCACGTTTGGAAGCTCGATGCATGTTTTCCATCGTCCGGCGATCATTCCAGTGGGTCGTCGGGGATCAGGCAGGCGAGCTCGAATCTACCCTGGGTGTTGTTCCTCGACTGATACTCTCGATCTTACCCAGCAAATCTCTCTTCAACGTGACGGAAATGCTGCCGTTAAACTCAGCTGTCCTGCCTGCACCAGCAAGTACCGCTCCAAGCAGCCCCAGGAGCTCCGGAGGCAGTTGCTCGCTTTCCTGTACTCCCACCACCGGCTCTACATGGACAGGCTGGGGCGTCCGTTACCCAGCCTCGTTCTACATCAGATCAATCCGGTCTTTAGTCTCTCGGACTATCACTGGATCCGAGTCATTCTGCACCAACAGTTGAAGCCCCCTCGCCCTCCAGCCTTCTTGCTCTCCAGTCGACGTGTGCGTTGAGAGGTGCAGGATTAGCATTGGCGGGCTTCTGACTGGTACTCTGCTTCCCATTCCTCTTGCCAGAGTCTTGATTTGGGTGTGTCAACACGGCGTTCCTGGGCTCCTGCAGAGGTGAAAGTGCACTTGCAGCCCGCTCCGGAGGACTTTCCGCAGCTAACCGGGTATGAAGACTAGGTCCAGGACGGTGGCACGGACCGTGATGGAAAGGGACACGGAACCGGTATCATCAGCCTCGTGACGCGCAACGCCTCTTTCCACCATCGAGATGCAAGTAAAATGCATAGGTGATCAGCTAGAAAGTCTTCGCCAGACGTCCCACAGGTTACGGCCGTCCTCGTCAGAAGCTGCGAATCCCTCCCCGTCGCTTACGAGGCCGACAATTTGTTCGACTTCGTCGAGGCCCGACGTGTGGTGGAGAAACGGCTTCATCGACACCTTCTACGGCAGGATGATCCGATCCAACATCCCGGAGGATTGCGCCTTTGCCGGGGGCATGAGCGGCGACATCTCAGTGCAGCCCGAGGCCTGATGGATAGCGTGAATGACCTGTCCAAGACTGGAGCCGGATTTACACGGATTCCCATTCTCATGGCGAACGCCCGGACTCCGATTCTGATTCCGAGCCGCGGGTGGCAGGTTTCCCCTTCGGATTCGGAAGAGGACAATTTAACGTTGAACGAGTTCGTCGAGCGGGCGACAGCAATTGTCACCAGTCGAAACGTCACAGAGGTGCTGCCGGTACCAGCAGCGGTACTATGAGCATGGAAGCGGCGACATTGACTCTAACGCCAGTCATGCACAGTCTATCGGCGTGCTGGAGCACGTCGAGAAGATCTCCATGCCCATTCTGCCCAAGGCCTCCCAAAAGAAGGCGCAAGGGGGGGTCACTCCGAGACACTAAGTGCTGGAGCACAGCTCCCACGGCTGATCATAATCAAGGCTGCCTGGGATTGGGAGCTTGACCAAGGAAATACTCAAGACATTCAGAGTCCGCCGGCCATGATGAACTTGACAGGCACCTCAACGGCCTGACAGCAGCCCCCACAATTGGGAAGGATGGTTCGGTAGACTCTACCCCTTTCTTTTCTCCTTTCTCCCAAGACAGGACCTCTTCCTCATGCTGCGGGTCCAATTGATCGATCTTCGTCTCGCGTAGATGTCTAGGATGGAGGATGACTGGGGTTCCCATGGGTCAATGGCTGGTGCTCCCTGGTCGCCCATATCCCCCTCTCATACTTGGGGTCCAACGCGCCCTGGAGTAGTCGATGAAACATCACGACCGTGACGGCTCAGACTATCTCAATAACCATTCTCCTCTCCTAGAGGCATAATTGGTCTTCTGAGTATCTCAGGTGGATAGTTACCGCAAGTGGCCACACCGGGGCAGATCCTGAGCGCCCTGTCACGCTCCTCTCAATCATTCGCGCAATTCGCGCCTGTCGCGCTCATCAACACCGCGGGATGAACGGCACCGGACGTCGTCATAACCTCTCCGCTATTCGAATAGACCTTCCGATTGGAGCACGCGCCGCGCCTATCGCATGCTGCTGAGAATAATCACTATCGGCAGGCTCAGACTAACTCTGTCAGTGGGCTTTGATATACCTTCAAGCCCCGATAGTCCAGCGTTCTTCACGGGCTTTCCGCGCCTGGTCCTACATAACCACGAAGCAGCGTATCGATGCGACCACAGCCTTCACTCAATCGGGCGCTATACTCCAGTGGCTGGTCACAACCTACCCTGTGGCCTCTGTGGGGCTTTACCTTGAGTGCTGCTGCGACACAGTGGTGCCGATTGAGCGCCGAAACCGCGACAAGCAGTTTCAAGCAGCAGGGCAAATGACTCCCATGGATCGCGATCATGGAGAGCGAAAAGCGGCTTGCACGGTGTGCGTCGTAACCGACACAACCAGGCGGTTCCGGGGGAGACCTTTCCCCAGAAAGTCGTCGGGAATCAGCGCATCATCATCTACATCGACGAAGCGGCTGGGGTCCTCTTATCCGCTCCTCACTCATTTGTTTTGACCGTATATATTATGCGCGAACTGTCTGCCCGACCAACTGCGGAGGTTTTGCTTCTATGCTTCTAGTTAGTCTAACAGACCCTCGAGTCCAAGCCATCGGCCTCATTTCAATCGACTAGAAGGCCGCATAAATATTTTTCCCTGCTCTCATGTGAGATACGTTTCATCGAGCCCAAGAACCTCCTGTATACTATCTCGGAGAATACTCGTTCCATTGGCCAGCTGCGCCTTCCGGCGTCAAACAACGATGACGGCCCTCAACTCCGTCAACAACGCATAGGGGGTCAGAGAACAGATAGCATCCCGGACAGCCCTTCCACACGTCATTCGATTGGCACAGGAAACACTGCCGCTCGTGGTACAAAGCCTTTGTCGATACCCCCTCTAGCTGTGGCTTTTCGCGGGAGATGAGGGCCTGCAAGAGCCATGTGAAGTTCAGTTGATCCGACCCACCGGAAGCCATCTGAGAATCGCCGTCTCAGTCTGCAGAGACCGACCCGATCCAGAGATTCATTACTTTATGATTGCTTCGGACAGCTAAGTTATAGAGTCGGCATCGGTTCGAGATTTGATCGGCGAGACATTTGAAGCAACAATCGGCGCCGACTACCTCCGCTCACTGGGCTTCAGGCTTCTAGCCTATAGACTAGTGGCCAGTCATGTACCCTATCACATACGAGAGACCATGAGACTCATTGAAGTCTTTGTGCAGCGAAGGAAATCATGCTTAGGGGAACGCGGTGGCATGGGAAGCTTCTATGTTGTTCAAGAGGAGGAATGCTTGCAGCGCCGGATCATGAAGCAAATATTGCAGGTCAAGGACCGAAGAAACTGCCTGTCAGCGGCTGGACGCAGCCCAGCTACAGCCCCGCTACCAGGCGTCCGACCTGTCATCAGGTCTTGAAGAGTAGCCGGGGAACAGACACGATGTACACCGCAGTGCAAAAACCGAGAAGGTGACGGAAGTCCCACTAGTATCCTGGAGAGTACCTACAGACCATTGCTTGCAAAAGAAATCAAGCAGAGCGTTGCAAGCTGCTACGCCACCTACCAAAGAGGATAAGGCGAGTAATGCCATCGACTTTCCCCAGAAAATACCTCTGCAGCTTCGAACACCAGAGCACGAAGTGTGAGCTTTCAACCACAACCTCCGTGGCAGGTGCTCGCCCGAAATCCGCACCACCACCCGGTCTATGTGATTACCGGAGTTCGCACCGCATCGCCAACGGCTCTTTCCCCGTCACCGAGCAAGACGGTGCATGCCAGGATCTCGATTCGGGCTTATCGTTTCGTTCGCAGCATCCGCCGGGTTCACTTGGCGTCCCCAGGACGAGGGATATGGGCAGACGGCGTTGATGTCGTTCCGAGGAGTCAGAAGCAATTCTTTAATAGTCGCGCCTGGCCTTGAATCAGTGTCTCGGTCAACTGCAGGCATTCTGCGCTCTACTAAGTATCGGATGGTTTCTGCGCAGATGTTGCTATCCCGTTCACGCTAGCGATTCTCTCTTCACCACCAAGCGCGCGAGACATACCCTCGAAAACTCCAAGCATCCAGTCTAAATCTGCCTTTGCCGATAAGCTCTGGCTCATCTCTCGTTTCGGGATCTGTTTTGTTCGTTTTCACCCTCGACAGTCCAATCTGGCTATTGACTGTGGCCAATGGTATAGTTCCGGCCTGGCTCGACCCTCGGAATCATTCGCCTCTGAGGCACCAGTGACACTTATCCATGTATATAGGGTGCGGGCCTTCCTCCTTTTGTCTCTTATCGTGAATGCAATGCCTGTTCGGCTGGAAACCCTCTAATCAGACGAAGTGGCGGCCAAGTCGTCAGACAGCCAAGGCGACTCAAGCGAAGGCGACTCAAGTCAGTCTACCAGCGTTGAGGGTGAGTCATTGACTTTTTAGATCGGCTTGCACTGACTTCTGCACTTCAGTCGCATCTCTCGAGTCGGAAGCTCTTTTGCGGAAGTAGCACTTCTCTACATCGTTTGTCAAAGATTGCCTCTTTCCGACCGTGGAAGACGAAGCCTGCCACAGCTATTGCAGCAACGATCTTCCCAACGGCATGGGGCTCCACGATAGATACAGTAGGAAGTATGTTATCGTCGTTGTCGTTCAGTCCGTGGACTGGGCCCGAGTGCTCCCAGACAGAGTGAAGCCTTTGGGGTGGATGATGAAGCCCTGCGCATCTGCTCTGTTATCAGCTTACTCGGCTCTGGGGTTAGGAAGTTCCGACGAAATAGGGGACTGAATAGTCCAGTCTACAGCAAATACTGGACTACTGGCCCTGTCTTGTCGTTCCTGCGAGGCTTTCAGGGGGAGCGCTTAGCCCCGGAGCCGTGGCCGAGGTCCCCAGTGCCCAGTGCAGCACACCCTGTCCTGGAGTTGCTCAAAGTGTGGTGGGATGCACCACGATGAATGCGTCATCTCGCAGCCGGAATCCGACACACATGGGGTTTCGTCTAAATTTGGCTGCACGAAATGCAGAGTCCCCTTGATACCTGCACAGTTGGCGCGCCAATGGCTGTATCGCTTGAAGTTGATTCTCTGGGGAAGAAGACAGTCTCTACACTCGGCCCTGTACCTGAAAGACTTCGCAGATTGGGCGGTGCATTCAAATCCCGGGCTCGCTCGATGCTTTTTCGTGGGCTTCGACTCCGACGCCTGAGTCCAGCATCTCCGTGTGCAAGTCACTGCGCTGTGCCACTCCCTCGGTTGGCGCTGGGAAAGTTTGTCACATTTATCACAATCATGGGAGTATATGTGCACAGCGCGGAGCAATGGCGGAACAAAGGCCTTGCCGGGTGCGTCTAGACGCCACTGACTGTCTTGACGAAAACGCCTTGGAGGAGCTAGATGACAAACTTGAATCCATGAACCGGATGTCAAAGTCCGACAAAACCGAAGAGGGGGTGCGAGCTACGCTCTTGGATGAGCTACTGGTATAAGCAGCTTCGGCTGTCGAAGGAGTACCTTGCAGGTCTACAATCTCATAACACATTCTTGACCCAGGCATTAGAACGCTGATTTCCAAACCAGAGACTCATCCAAAGCTAGCCTCCGGGCCGGTCTCGTCGGGCGAGGCCCGAGACATGGTGCTGTGCTGCGGCGACCGTTGAGAGGGGCTCAGTTGATCCTGGTTCCCGCCCCTGTCCTTCACAACTGGGTGCGCATGTGGGACATGTTTGTTGACGAAGAGAATTCAGACATGGAGCTCCACATCGCCTACCACACAAACTTCGGCACCGAACATCCTCTTGTGAGCAATGAGCACCGCGGGCAGTTTCAGTGGGCCGACATCGAGGATTACCGTCGGACCGAGGCGGAGTACTTCGCGTGCCTCAATCCCCGGCCCATCGAATGGAAAGAACGGTACGAGGCTGCTCAGACCCAGCCTAAGCGGAACAGCAAGATGGGAGAGAAGATTGCCATTGCCTAGTCGAAGAAATCGCTGCTGAAACTTGCGTGGCATACTTCTTTCCCTGTTATGTTCTGTCGCAGCCGGCCAGAGCACGAAAATTCAACATAGAGCCATCCACCCCCGTCTGTGGTACCGGTGCACAGAGTTCAACAAGGTCTATTCCAAGTCCTGTGCCCGGGGTACCTTGTAGGTCTATATTCTCATAGTAGATTCTTAATTCCGGCAAAAAAATACTGATTTCTAAACTACAGACTTACCCAAAGCTAGCCTTTGAACAGGTCTCGTCAGGCGAGGCCCGAGACATGGTGCTGTGCTGCGGCGACCGGGAATCCAGAAGCATGTTGACAATGGGCTGATTAATGAAGCTGTGGTAGTAGGTGAAGACCACGGTCTCGTTCATCGTTAGAATTTTTGGAGATGCAACCGACGATGATATCAGAGAGTGGAAAGGCATTGCCTGAGCTCCGAACTTTCATGGAGGCCACGAGGCCACAATCCATCCAGGTCGTCCATCGCCCCTGGATACTTCCTAGCAGCTACAGGAACGTCCAGGTGTACCTATTCCCTCGCTTGGGCAAGGCAGACAGTGTAGTTGACAAAGACTGCCCTCAAATGCGTGCCTCGCACATTTACCACCTCAGTGCACGGATACTTTCTTCCTCTACCAGATTCTCGTCCACAAAAACGGCATCATCTGGGCTGATGATCTCACTGCCTTACGCGCAGGACATCATCTGTACAGCGTAGCAGAGCACGCAACTGCCCTTCCGGATGGATGGTCGTAGCCATGGGTGGAGCGATGGATGACCGCCCACCCGGACCTGCTCTACAGCCACTGGTTTCACGGCCTGTGCTCGCAGTCTGACTTTTCTGAGGCGCAACCCACCAAAGTAATCCTCACGGACGGAAGGGTGTTTCCAAGCCGCTGGCCTGCTGAACAACCACTACCTCAGTCGTCATGGGTGTGATAACTCTGACTGCCTACGTCTTTCGAGTCAGTTGTCTCCAAGTAGCTGGACACTGGACCGAGTGTAAAGGGCCAACGCGCGTTTCACAATCCATCACGACCTCCAGCCTCGACAACACCCGGCCATTACCAAAATGCGCAGAAGAGCCGGAGATCGCATTTCTCCTCTTTTTCGACTTTCATTTCTGTCATTTGCACCCCTTCGCGGCCAAACCGCAGACTTTGTCCCTGCAGTGGATACCTACGCCCTGCGACTGCCGCTCAGCCCATTCGTGCTCCGCAGAAGGCCCGGATAACCAGATCTCATTCTAGGGGTCACGCAACATACCCATCATTGCTGTGGCTGCCCGATCGCCTGCGACATCTCAGGGAGGACGGCCCTGCATATCTGGGGGTATGATCGATACGTGAGGAAGGCGGCCTTCGTGGCCAAGGTTGCGATAGCCCGGGGAATCATGGTGGGCGAGCAGCTGGCGCCGGACAGCCCCCTCATGCGGCTCGACACCATCTATTCTCGACCTTCCTTCCCCGGGAAAACATGTCCAGCACATTCTGAAGATGGCCGGTTCCATAATCACGGCCTGCAGATTGATCGCGAGAACAGCGCTACCCACCGGTCCCGGGCAGCAGGACGCTTTATCGGTTCACTCGTCGCAGCGGAGAGAATGTCCGATGGGCCTTAGGAGAGACTCGACCACCACAACAACTTATATGAGGTCTGGTACTGAATGAACGACTTGCGCGAGTCCATAGGCTTGCAGGATGTGACTCTTCCCGACATATAGTTGAGATACGAGGAAACAACCGTATGGAAAGACAGCGATCCTACACGAAAGCTCTGGGGATCCGTCACCACGCAGAAACCGTCAGCCGTCTACGGAAATCGTAGCCCATACCTCAACCACCTCGACGACGTTCGTAAGGGCTTCGGACAGGGGCCCTGCGAACAGGACAGGAAACCCTGGCTGTCTGGTATTATATCGGGCGCTATCTGACTGGCAGAGTCGGTTAGCTATAGCCTCACCTCGTAAGAAGTTACTCACCATGGTCAGCGGCGACTCCCAGCAACTACCTACAAATGTCGCAATAGATTTCTTCACATTCAATACTACACAGAGACGCCGGTCCCCAACCTGGTGGTTGGGTTGAAGAACCCACTGGAAAGGACAGTCTGCTGAGTGATCACTGACCAGGTCCAGTTGCACCGGCAGCTGAAGCCTACCGTGGACTTTATCACACTGGGTACAGATCCTGGTCTAAGACTACACATGATGTGAGTTGACTTGCGGGGCCTGCCCTGGGTTTCGATGGCTACATCTCTCCATTGACCCAGGAAGGCTTATTGGATGGTCGCGATCACCCCCTGGTGAATGTTATCCTACGCCGCGCATCCTCTGCGCTAGGTCGATTGGCTGATTCCAATACCTTGGATGCGCTTTCACTTTGGATGGATAGCTCTACACACAAGGCACTCGACAGAAAATATCGCAGAGACCAGAGTGCGGATCATTTTCAGCAAGGTATCCGGCTTCTCATTTCTTTGCTTTTCTGTTCTGTTCTGTTCTGTTCTTTTGACTTTCTTTCCAACGTCACCAGCGACTGCAGGACCGAAATACCCAGCAACATCAACTTCAGCGCCCTGTTGCGCTCCTGGCAGACCCAATCGTCGACCCAGTCGCCGACAGCGAGATCCAAGAGCAATGTCCCGTGGTGCTTCGTCCAACTGCGGGCCAGTCCCCGGGTGTTCTTGCAAAATACAGGAGGGCTCATTGTACCTGTACAATGTTGGTAGGGGGCAGGAGGGTCAAGAAGGTCAGCTAGTGCATTCGGCTGTGCAAAGCGCAGAGCACCCTGGCATGTGCGCGGCGAAGGCTGCAGTATTTGAAATCAGGCGACCGAGAGAGACCTGACCAGGACAGGCATCATCATCAGCAGCAGCAGCAGGTAAAAGAGCACATGTCGTCTTCAAACAAGGCACGTCTCAGGAAAGATCTCCTGTTGACTCCTCACTACCCTGCCATCAGACCACAGGGGTGCAGACTCGGATTTCACTACAGAATGCGGCTCTTGTCAAGCAGAAAGACGGCTGGCCCTTGCCGGAACTCACCTTCTATAGAACAACTATTACGGAATCTTGAGTTCGGGAGTAAGACCAAAAGCCTGAGGACTGGAGTCCGAGGTGGAGAACCTTGAAAGGGTGAAGCAGTAGGCTTTCCTGCCGTGCTGAACGCCTCCCTGCCCTCGGTCAAGCTCTCTAGCCTGCCTTCCTCGCAGCCCTCAGCTATTGCAATTCCCCCGATGGCCGATTATCATGTACAGATTCTGAGGCTCGGCATATGCTACCCAGACGATGGAAACCATCAGAACGCGTGGTCACGACTGGTCTCGACTCCAATCCTTGATAGAGGCCATTTCCCAGTCGAAGGAATCGCTGCTGAAACTTGTGTGGCATACTTCTTTCCCTGACATGTTCTGTCGCAACCGGCCAGAGCACGAGAATTCAAGATAGAGCCATCCACCCCCGCCTATGGGGCCCGTGGTACTGGCGTGCGGAGTTCAACAAGGTCTATTCCAAGTCCTGTGCCCGGGGCTCTAGGCCACTCCTGTCCAGCTTGCGGTATAGCCTGGCCGGTACCTTGCCCCAACGAGACGCCACCGGCATCCACCAAGACAGACAGTGATACTACCCGCCAGCACCACCACCAGCCGGAGGAAGAATCACAGAGCGCTGTGAGTGCCGCGAGCACCACAATAACCACAGCTCCCGAAATTGCCCCTACACCTTTCTCAGCAGCAATACCTGACCCTTCCGACAACATGCCGAAAGCAAGCGCAAAGGGCTGTGTAAACCAAGGGTCAGCTGACCCTGGTTATGCGTGCGGTGGCTGGGGACACCTCTACTGTACCCATGTCACAGCCATCGATATCAGCGCCTGCGCCGTCGCCAGGAGGTTGGGCTTCGACTCTGTCATACAGATTCGGGAGCCAATTGTCAAGAACGGCTGCCCAATCCTGCCTATGCGGGAATGACTGCTCCAGCGCGACAAGTAATTTGGGAACCAAAGGACATCCCAGAATCCATAGACCCGGAACTTGCCACTTCGAGCCAATGAACCCAATTCTTTTACAGCCAGATCCAGTCGCAGGCAAAGAGACCCGACTTTTGGCTGCATCGCGCGTGAAGTACTCGAGCCAGATAATGAATGCTCTACGCGATCAGCGACTATCGATGAGACACGCGTATCGCCACACTGCAATCTGTTGCTTGCGCAGATGTCTTGGAAAGGCTACCTGCGTGACCCTCAATACGAGCCGTCAACGGAAGTGGCAGTCGGATTTGAGGGGGTTACTCGTCACGGAGATGCTCACGGCTGCGGTCACAGAGATCAATCAGACATGCCTGTCTGTGACTGCGGCGCACTGGCGCGCGTGTCTGTTGATAAGAAGTCGGAAGCTGAACCTTCGCCCGGCAGCGGAGTATCGGTTTAGATACCTGAAATCCTACTACGATGGCGAAAGTGACTAGCTCTGCTAGAGCTTCTAAGCCAGATATCTTGTGCGAGATCTTCAAGAGTGTTTTCTCAAGTACTTAAAGAGGCGAGTGACTCGGATATCAATGAGACAGATTTGTATGTAACTGCGGCGCACTGGCGCGCGATTCTGTTGATAAGAATTCGGAAGCCGAACCTTCGCTCGGCAGCGGATCACTGTATCGCATATCTGGAACCCTACTACGATGGCGAGAGTTAGTAGCTCTGCTAGAGTTTCTGAACCACATATCTTGTGTAAGATTTTCAACGTGTTTTCTCCAATACTGAGGGAGGCGAGCGACTCAGATATCAACCAGATATGCCTGTCTGTGACTGCAGGGCACTGAAGCGTGTGTTTTGATATAGTATTCGATGCTGAACATTCGCTCGGCAGCGGATCACCGTATTATTTACCTGGAGACCTGCTACGATGGCGAGAGTTGGTAACTCTGCTGCAGCAGTTTCTGAGTGAGAATTCTTACATGGAGTTTTCAAATTGTTTTATCAAATGGTTGGGGAGGCGAGTGACTCATCGCCAGGTGAGTCATCATCCAACAGCCGCGACTCAGAAGAATCTACATTTCGATAGCTAGAAGGTGCTGAAGCTGACAACCACGGAAGAGGTTCTACAGGTGGAGATAGAGCCGACAATACCGAGACAAGAGGGATCCCCATATTACACTTCAGGACATTGAAGTCAGAGATCCCCAGATGGTACAATACGATGGTGCTGTGATTAACCCTAGTTTCATGTCGGTTATCACAGCAACTACTTCGGCAGATTCGAATCCCAACACGATCAATACAGGCACGCTCACGACTGACGAGCTCACCAGTGTCGGTCAGGCCTTTAATGAAACCATGCGCCGGCGACAGTCACCTCGAGATCGCCCGTGATCCACCGCCGTCCGACCGGCACATTGACACGGCGATCTCGAGATGGGGGCGAACAGCTCTGCACTACGCTGCCTACTGTCGCAGCGAGGAGGGGGTCAGGGATCTACTTGAACACGGCACGTATGTTCATGCGACGGATTCGTAGGGTGAGACAGCGCTCTCGTATGCCGCGATGAGGTATGGATATGAGGCAGTCGAAGCGCTCCTGGCCGCGTGGAGCAGACGTGAATACAGGGGTTCAGATGCCCTTGTTGCAGAGTATCGCTTCGGACGATTGTAACCTTGTGCCTTGCTTGCTTGCTCGTGGAGCAGACCCTGATGCGGGAACACACAACAGCAAAGAGACAGCACTCACCCGTACGATCCATCAGTCTTGCGATCTGGCCGGTCATCAACTGCCTGAACGGTGCGCCGGTGGATGCTGTGAACTTCATCCTGTTCTACTGCGGCGCCGACTGCCCCAAGCAATGACGCTACACGGCAGCATCACGCAGTCCCTGTTGACAGTACCTCTGTTCCGGTAGGCGAGGCCAAGGGCCGCCGGCGTGGAGGTCCCGATCCGGAACCACCACAGTGACGCTGGAGAGGGCGACCCTGAACTTGAGGACGCGCGCAGGGGTGATAACCGGAGTTGGAGCCGTCTTGTGTCTGTCATCTCTAAGGCACATCCTGCTTTCCCAGAGTGGCCACCCGATTCTCGTGACTGCGATGTCGATCATCCAGCGACCCATTGGGGTCACGACCTCGTCCTCGAGGACTTCCCTGCCGCGAGTGGCGTGGACCTTGGGCAGAACTTCGATCGCGTCCTCCAAGCAAGTGATGAACCCGCGAGCATCGATCATCAGGGATTCTCTGCCTTCCAGCGACGCCGGACTGACCGGAGACGAGATGGAGGTCTTGGTGGCAAAATACCGTAGCCAAGGAAGGGCTGATGGTGTTGAACTCGATCCCCGGCCAACTCTGAGAAACATGGCCCTTCTGCCGCAAATCAACACGAGGGAACCGCCGTACAGTGACGCCGGCCTGACCCGAGAGGAAATGGAGGTCTTGGTAGCGAGATACCGTCGCCAAGGAAGGGGGGATGGTGTTGACGGAGGTTCCATCCTGCTCCGGGCGTGCGTGAGTTGGCTATGGAACACTGTATTTGCTTGACGATACTTTACCTTTAGGGCTGTCTGTCTGTCTGTCTGTCTGTTTATCTTTCTAATGATTACTTGAACTGTACAAGGTAGTCCACCTCGATCGCAGATCGCAGGACTTGACTGCCGCCGCGGATGATTTCAACGACTCAGCAGGCGCTCCTTCCCCCTTTGAACTTACTCGAGCCGAACACCTCTTGTGAGCAGCTATAGGGAGGAAGTAGCATGGAATAGCTCATGACGCAAGTCGTTTCAGATTTTTGGGTGGATATCCTATTTGAGACGCGCATGGGTCTCTTCAAGTTTGACAGAAGTCTGCCGCCTTATTGCAGTCGGTTGGCTCTCGCCGACTTCAGACGACAGACTTAGCTAGCAAGTTCGCGTACTCCACACCGAATGACGAGGACTACGCTTCCATCAAAGTTACTTGCAGGAGTGTGAAATCATCTTGGTCGAGCTGCAATCAGGTGTCGTTGAACTATGATGGGAATCAATCTGCAGCTATGGGCTGGGTTGGCTGGCCTAAGGCGGTCACTGACCATTATATACATAGATATATAGGAGATTTGGTACAGTTTGAAAATATACCTATGATAATTAAAGTCTCTCACGAATCTAAAGATGTATGGGGTTGACTCGAGGCGCTAACGAGTTAGATGCTCACTGTTGTGGAAGATCAGAGGTCGGAGACTCGCTAATCGCGATTTAGGAGTTGAGGCGAGGTTTCTCTCGCGATAACCATCTCTTTATAGATAGACTATGACATTAGTGGGCTATATCATCAATGTAAGATCCATGTCTACTATATCTCATGGTATCCAAGAGGCAGTAATGCAGCTTCAGGTACTTAGAATGCCAGCATCGCGCCTGCGTTCTACAACCCCCTGGTCAGCTGACCAGCCTGCCAACCGTACAATCAAGTGCGCGAGGCTTCACAGGAAAGGGAGGCGCAACAGCCAACTTGTTCCCCAAGACATCAAGCAAGCCAACCCACCCCCACCAACCAACATCCCAACAACCCCAGAAACCCAAATCCACTCATCAGAACCCCCTTACCCTCACTAACAGCTACTCAAACCACCCTAGATCCTCCAAAAAGCCTCGCGGTGCCGCAAAACCGTGGCAACAGCCTAACCCAAACCAAACATATAGGCCCGGCAAGTGCTGTCCCTCGCAACAAACACCCCGTAT